AACTGGGGCAGAATAGTGCAGGTCAGCAGCTGCCACTGTTGTCCCAGAACCGTCCCCAGAGCCCTGGGGTGAGCTGCCCACTAGGCAAAGGGCTCTGGGGAGGTCACAACACACTACTGCTTCTGGTCGCCCACAATTCTGCCCCACGTACCCCCATCCCTGGCATCACAGCATGTCCAGGTGTGTCTCAGATGGGCACCTGGGTTGGAACTCTGCTAGGACTATAGGCCACCAGTTAAATGAGAAATTGCAGGAAAAGGGGGCCCTAGAGAGACTCAGGACCAGTCTCAACATTTGGGCCTATTTGCAGTCAGGGACACAGTGAGCTCCACAGTGAAGAGCCATCCATCCTGCTGTTTGGGGGTGAGAGTGTGGGGCTGTTGTGGGGACACGCAGTGCAGGTGAGGCTGCCATCACAGTGCCCCAGACTTACCGAGGAAGTTCCAAACTGTTCCAGGTAATCTATGTCGGCCCCTGTGCCTAGAACTGAGAGGGAGCAAGTCGCTGCTGCTGTCACTGTTCTTGCCAACACCCAGGGCCCCGAGGGCCACAGCTAGGTCTCCCATGGTGCTCAATAAGGTGTGACCATGGTTCTCTAGTGGAATAAACACAGGGAATATTCCTGGCCACCAGGCCAGCAGCCTCCTCACCTGGGACCTGGAGCTGAGGGTCCTTTGCCTCCCGGTGAGATTTCTCACCTCAGCGCTGCTGACACTTGGAGCCTGACCACTCTCTGCGGTGGGGGTGTGCCGGGCACTACAGGCTGCTAAGCAGCATCCCTGGCCTCTACCAACTCAATGCTAGTAGCACTCCCTAGGCATGACAACCAATAATGTCCCCTGGGGGGACAAAATGCCCTAGTTGAGAACTACTGTTTAAAACTATCTTAGAAAAGTCTTTTAAGATCTGATAATATACACTTTGGTTAAAAAACCTAAGGGCGGGCGACTTCCGGGGCCCCGCTCTTGGGGCCCCAGAACCTCGTCCATTTAAAAAAAAAAAAAAAAAAAAAAAAAAAAAAAAAAACCTAAGGCCAAAGCCGAGCGAGCAGGAGGATCGATTTACCCAGGAGTTCAAGCCGCAGGGAGCTATGACTTGTGCTCGATGAACACCCACTGCTATTCAGCCCTGGGCAGCATAGCGGAGATAGCTCTCACAAAATTTTAAACCAAGCAGCAAAACAGAACAAAAAACCTTTAGGGTGCCTCCACGGCATAGTAAACAATTAACTTGAACCTGATTGAAGATCAAAACATGTAAGAGCTAGGCCGGGGCGGGGTGCTCACGGCCTGTAATGCCTAGCTCCTCTGGGAGGCGCGAGCCGGCGGGCGATTGCTCAGGTCAGGAGTTCAAAACCAGCCTGAGAAAGAGTGAGACACCGCTCTCTACTATAACATAGAAAGAATTAATTGGCCCTGATATATACTACTACAAAAATTCAGTGGGGCATCGGCTGGCGCATGCCTGTAGTCCCAGCCTACTCGGGGAGGCCTGAGGCCAGTAGGATTGGCTTAGCGCGCCAGGAGTTGAGGTGTGCCTGTCACGCGGCCCTAGGCTGACGACCAGCGGCACTCAGATCTAGCCTGGACAACAAAAGCGAGACTCTGTCTCAAAAAAACAAGTTAAAAAAAAAAAAGTACAGAGTAAACCTATAAACTAGATGCCCAAAAGTTCATTAGCCATCAGGGCAATGCAAATGAAACCACAACCAGATACCACTTTGCAGCCATCAGACGGCCAGGATCAGTAGACATAACAAGTGTTGGTGAGGAAACCTCCTACACACTGCTGTAGGATTGTAAAAGGTACAGCCCCTCGGGAAACAGAAGTCGCCAGTTCCTCAAAAAGTTGAGCATAGAGTCACCATGATCTAGAAATTCTAATCGCCAGTATACATACAAAAGAATAAATCGTGGCAGGGTGTGTGGTCACGCCTGTAATCTTACCACTCTGGGAGGCCGAGGTAGGAGATTTGCTCAAGGTCAGGAGTTCAACACCAGCCTGAGCAAGAGCGAGCCCCATCCTCTACTAAAATAGAAATTAATTGGCCAAAAAATATATAGAGGGGCAGGCACCATGGGCAATAAAAGTTACTTTAACACTGTTACCCCATAATCACAACTAAAAGAATAAAAAAAGAAAGAAAATATATAGAAAAAATTAGCTCTGTATGGTGCGCATGCTGTAGACCCAGCTACTCGGGAGGTGAGACAGGAGGAATCGCTTAACCTAAGAGTTTGAGGTTGCAGTGAGCTAGGCCTGACACCACAGCACTCTAGCCAGAGTAACAGAGGTAACCTTTGTATCAACATAAAACCAAGAATGAAAAATATTTCTACACAAAATTTTAAGTTGCCTCAAACCATATATACGTATAACTCCAAAAGATCAAAAAGCTAAAGACATGAATGTCATGACATTTATTCCAAACAGCTAAAAAGTGGAACCACCCAAACGTCCACCCGATGAGTTTAACAAAATATGAATGTTATTCAGCCCCACCTCGGGACAAGGCACTGACACCTGCTGCGATGGACGAGCTTGGAAAACACCATGCTCGCATGGCAGAGGCCAGACCCAAACCTCATGTTGTGTGTGTTCCAGAGGTCCCACATGGGGTGACAGGTCCACCCCAGCTAAGCTTATCCCATGTGGCCAGAACCCATGACTATCTGCCAGAGATAAACCCTACCTACATTCACCTTCCAGTCTTCTCAATGACTGAGGTTTTAAGTAATCCAAACAGAGATTTTACAAAGTTGCTTTATAGCCTTTAAACCAATCCAATTATAACTCACTGAACACACTTCATTTATACTTTCTTTCCGTATGTCACTTTAATGACCATTCTACCCATCCACATTTCACCACAGCCTGGTGTTGAAGGACTAAGCTTCTCATTTCATTGTTCCCTGATTACCAACGAATGCCCAGTTGGCAATTACAAGTTTGCATGTCCGTGTGTCATCTTGTTTTTGCCTTTGGCTGATTTCTCTGAGTATACAAATTCTATTTCTAGAAGTCCTTTAAGTGAAATGTATGAGACCTATCCCTACTGAAAATGCCTATCTTTTGATAAACTAGAAGTTTGTGTATGAATTACTTAATGTTAGGTGACAGACCAGCCTATAGAATGACCACCTGGCCAATGATGCAGGGGAGTCAAGCCACCAAACACAAATGCTCAGAGGGATACATTTAAAGCAAACCAGAGGACGTCTGCTGAGGCAACTTACCCTCTGCAGGGTCTCTGAAGCTCTCCTCCCTTCGGCTCCAAGGCAGGCTCTGGCCCCTGCTGAGTTGGGGGCACTGCCTCACTGCCTGGACAGCTCGTGGACCGATGTGCCCGAAGAATTCCAGTTTCCCTCCTGGAGGGAAGGTCAGGTCACCCTTTGCAGTTGAGGACCCTCTGGGTGGGATTTTGCCTCACCCATTCTCAGCAAAAGGAACCCCAGGGCGAGGGCAGCAGGGTATCCCATCCTGTCACCGCAAGGTCACCTGTGCCTCCCATACCCGAGACTTTTCACCATGGACAGTACAGGATCATAAGCCCATCACACGTACACCGTACCTTGCCCTCTGTGCTTGGAGTCTCAGCTGCCATCTGCGCCACAGGTGTGTCCTCCACTGAGGCTGGACGCAGCCTGGCTGGAGAGCAGAGTCAGCAGAGACCTAGGGTGCCCTGCCCGCATGGCTCCCAGCACGCGAGCTGCCCACCTGCCTCCTACCCGTGCATTGTTGCGGTTGGTCACGTCAATGCTCAGCTAGAGTGTGCCAGGTACAGGGGCCTGCCCAAGTGACCTGACCACGAAGCTGCCCTCACCAGCCCTACCCAGAATGAGAAACACGCGCCTTGCTCCCTGGCCTTGGGAGGAATGGCAAGCAAAGAGGACTCCTGTAGTCTTTTGACTGTGAAATCAGCAAAGGGCCTGGGGGATAGGAGGTAGCGAAGGCCATGCCCTGGCTGAGCAATCAAGCATGGGGTGTGGCCGAAGAGGAGACAGAGGATGGCAGCTGGCCCTGGAGGTTCTGCTAGAAAGCTCCACACCAGAACGCTGGGTGGAGGAAGGCTAAGACCCCAGTGAGCAGCGCACCGGAAGGTGCTCCCACCAAGAAGGTACACACGTGGGGACTGAGAGTCACCCTAGGTGGTAACAGGCTCATCTGGCCTGTTGGAATCCAGGTCTCCTGGGGAGCGTGCTCGAGCTGGGGGAGGGGGCCTTGCTCTGGGGCTGGCCATACTTGCTTTCAACTTGAGTGCCAGCGCTCATGCACTTGATTCTTCTTTAAATGGAGGGCTCACTACCACACAACCACGACCCAAACTCCTGACAGCTGCCGGGTCTCGGGATTGGGGACTCTGCAGCTGTGCCTCCCCTGCCCCAAGACCCCCTCCTGGGGCTTTCCTGGCACAAAGGAGCATCTAATGGCATTTCTGGACTGGCCCTGACCACAACATACCTAGAGCACCAATCCCGAACTTACTGGCTCAGACTTGAGTTCCTCAACAGCCCAGGACCGGAGGTTGGGCTTGTGGCCCTGCCAGCCGGCAGGGCCCAGGGGTGCCCACACTCTCAGGGGGCCAGGGCCTCCACAGGAAGGTCTGCCAGGGGCACTCCACATGCTGTTTCAGGCTTGTACCAGGAGGTCGGCAGCCTCGGCCAAGGAGGCAGAGGCCCCGCCATGTGAGTTTCTCCCTCGGCTCTGAGAGGAGTCTCTGCATTGTGGGGGGACACTATTCTGGAGGGTCTTCAGGGCCTCGGAGGTGGATGTCACAGCTTCTGTCTGAGGGACGAGAACTAATGTTTTCCTCAAAGCTCTCTCAGGGATGCTAGACACTTTTCTTGGAGAGCCATTTGGCTTTCAGGACTTCTGGGCCTGGGCAAGCTGGAGGCACCTGGGTTGGCAGGGGGCTGAGCCAGGCTCCGAGGAGGTGCCACCTTCAAAGGCTGGTCTGCATTCCCTGGATGAGTGTCAGCACCAGTCGCCATTTGTTTCTGGGAGAATTCTATTGGTCGTTCTCGAGTCCACTTCCTTGATAAACTGTTGGCTTTTAAAAATACTTAATGTTAATTGGAGGAGATTCTTGTAATGTTATGCTGCCTCAGCATCCATCTTGAATACAAGTTTAACCTTCCCCACCAGAAGCAGGCCTGTCACCTTTCACACGGCTTCCGTTCTGTACTCCTTCCCCCACCCCTAGTTCCTCATGGCGGTTCTTTCATTCTGGTGGTCACCTCATACAACTGCCTTGCTGCGTGCAGCCTCCCCTGTGGCACAGCTGCAGCAGCCTACCCCGAT